GCATTTGCCTTGCCCCACGTATGCGCATGTGCGATGGCACCTCTTCCTCTCCTAAAGGGTTACATAATTAGGCAGATCAGCATCAAGGCCTTTCTACCCTTGCACTGCGCTCTGAAACTGCTGGATTTCCACACGAGGCCTGTTTATTCTGGATCGCACTGAATTTGGTCAGCTGAACTCTCTTGGGTATGGAGAGTTTTCCTTACCCTTGGCCTACTTTTTCTGGTACTAAATATCCTTTTACAGCTTCACCCCGCACTTTGTAAAACAAATAGTTGAAAGCACTGCTCTCTTTTGCTGTTAGAGTGCGTCACTCCCACCGTCACTCCCACGTGCTCCTTGGAGAGCCACAGGCACGGAGCCTCGTGTTGGAAAGGAAGGTTTTGTTCATGTCACAAGATCCGTCAGGTGCCTGCCGTGTGCCAGCCTCCCTGTGCCCATAGCTCAAAACCAGACTGTTGCCCCCAGGACAGTAAGGGTGGTGACGAAGTATATTCAGGGCCTACGGGGAGAAAAGGGCACTGGGCCAGCTCCAGGCCCAAGAGGCTTTTGCTCGCATGCAATGTCCTCTCTGCCTCTCCTTGTGCTTTGATTCTGTCCCCTCCCCAGCATAGTAATAGAAGCAGGAGGAAATCGCCAGGTCACTGACCTCATAAATCAACTCATTTTTCCATGTTCTCATTAGCAACGTGGGAGAAACTAAAAGACAGGAAAGAAGGGGAAGAAATGCAGAGGGAGGCAAGCTGGCCGCCTACGGCTCTTTGTAGGTTTGGTTTCCAGTGATTGTTACAGCAGCTGCCTTACGCTGCAGTGAGCACCGTGCTCACTAGTGTTACGCTCAGGTCTCCTAACTGAGCCCTTGTCTGGTTGGTCCCAAGTTTTCAGCACTCAGTGTAGTGAAAGTGCCGTGACAAAGAGCTCCATGCACAGAGCTCTTTCCTCTTGGATTATTTCCTTGATACCAGTGCTAAGGAGGGGGATGCTATGCTGGTCAGGCTCAGGATGGGATTAAGTCTGTTTAAAATGCGTTAGATGCTCACCTGATGAAGATGAGGGCCATAAAAATGTTCATTCCTGCTTTACTGGCCGTGCTGCTTAAAAACGTCTCTCTCTCGAAGCAGTGAAACAAGTGTTAGCTCAACATGTAAACACTCAGAGACAACTCCCGTAGGAGTGTGGGACCCTGACACGGTACCGGGAGCACCAGTCACAGAGACCTAAACAAGGAAGGGACCAGTCGGTGGTCAAGTGCTGGGGGTGGCTCCTCTTCCGTCCGGGAAGCCTGATCATTCCTCTGGGACAGGGTTTGGATTGAGCAGTCCCCATCCTGCTGAAAGGACTGCCGTGACACTTTGCTGGGCCTCTCAAGACACTTTTTTTTTTTTTTTTAAATACGTCTTGATTTCAGAGAGAGGAAGGGAGAGGGAGAGAGAGGTAGAAACATCAATGAAGAGTCATTGATGGGCTGCCTACTGCATGCCCCTCACTGGGGATCGAGCCCGCAACCTGGGCATGTGCCCTGACCAGGAATTGAGCTGCGATCTCCTGGATCCTAGGTCGATGCTCTGCTGAGCCACACCAGCCGGGCTCATCACTTTATATCAGATTTTTTAGTAAGTCTCCTGTCTTACGGCCCAGAGAGCAGCTCACCCCCAGTAAGTGGTTTTGTGACTGAGGGAACGTTGACTTCCTCCTGCGGGAGGTGTGGCTGGTCTGCTGTACAGAGCATTTCCGTTCTCTAGCACCTTTTTACAATATTTCATATATACTTGGGCCCTCTGACGGATGTGCAGGCCTTTGTGAACTGAGACATAGCTCACACAAATAACATTGTCCATGTGGAAACCCAATTCTGAGTGCCCTAGGAATTGTTCTAGAAACTTGGGAAGCATAGCCTGCTCTTCAAGGGAGAACAGTCACAGGATTTAACCCAATAACTTAAACGGAAACAACAAACACGTTTCCCAACCAGAGGAGCAGTGACTAGTCTCCTTTCCCAACAAGGTCTCACAAGGAAACTTCTAAGGAGTCATTAATCCCAGATGCTCAAAGGAGTGGAATGAGTGGCATTCACAATAAAAATCTTTTAAACTTCACGTCTCAAAATGACGGCTCTATCACTAATTTAAAAACATACTTTAAAGGTTGTGAAATAAGTAAGATTTAAAAATTCCAGTCTGCTGGCCTGGTGCTTTTAGATGACCATAAGGTAGGTGACACACACAAAAAATACTCATTCTCTATTCTCACCTGTTAAAACTTTACCTGGGAATCTCCACTCTGAAGGCATCCGGGGGAGTGAACCTATTGAGGGCCTGGAGGCTTCGGTGTCCACTGGATGGGCTTGTACAAAGAAGTGATTCAGGATCCCCGCGGCCGAGGATGGGACAGTTTCGCTCCTGTCTCCATGGTTTCTAGGAAGAGGGGCTGAGTGACTGTTCTAGGGCACAGCCAAGAGGAGCAGCCGGAGAGGCTACTGTTCATATTCTCTGCTGGCCTGCTTGGGCCCTGTCATTCCCCAGAGCTAAGCACATCTGGTTCCTTTGGTCAAGTTTATCAGGAAAAAAAATCCCCTGGATTAGCTGAAATATAAATGAAAACCCAGATGCCAGCTGAATATACAGACTACTGCTTTCCTGCTTGTGAACTACATGAAGAAAAAGTGAGTTCAAACATGTCAACATAGCCCCGGTGGCACGGTCTCTTAGTCTCCGCTTGGCCAGGAAGAGCAAGTTAGATTATAAAGTGTCCTCCGGGCTGTCCCCGGCATTGCCCACAATCACCCCGCTAATCTTACCTCTGGCGAAACCCAAGGAAAACCTGTTCTCACAGTAGCTGGTTTTGGACCGAGGACCGAGTTTTGTTTGATCTAATGCAATCTCAAGTCAGGGAAGCTGGGAATTGGTCCTGGAGGAAGGGAAAGGGGTAGCTTGTTGGGTTCAGAGAAACGTCACTGAATTTATAGCTTAGGGTGACAAATTCTGTGGTGCCCAGACCAGAAAGAACTTTCTAAAATGCAGCAGCTGGCCAGCCACTTGCCTGCGGGAAGCTCTCTCAGGCTTCTCTTGCCTGTAAGACAAGTCCACAGCCCCTGGCCAGGCGGACAGGGGCCCTCCGCCCTGACCTGGCCTTATTTTCCAGCCTCATCTCTTGTCCACCCCTCCTTGCCATTTAGGTTCCGACCACGCCAACGAGCACTCTGCTCCCAAGCCCTAGCCTGTGCTCCTCTCCTAGGTCCTGAAGACCTTCACATCTTAGAGCCTCTTCCCCTCCCCTACTTCTCCCCAAACTATCCCTTAGATTCTGGTCTCAACTTAGGCTCCCAGGGGAAGAGACATCTACTGGTCCCTGTCAAAAAGTTGGCTGCCAGGCCCTGTCTGGTGTGGCTCAGTTCGATGAGTGCTGTCCCACGCACCACACAGGGTCACTGGTTCGATTCCCAGTCTGGGCACATGCCTGGGTTGTGGGCTCGATCCCTGGTAGGATGTATGCAGGAGGGAGCCGATCAAGGTCATCGATGTTTCTCTCATTCTCCCTCTCCCTTCCTCTCTCTAAAATCAATAAAAACATATTAAAAAAAAAAAAAGTTGACCACTGTGATGTTCTTGAACACACCTGGCTTACCCGTCACCAGCCCTCTTGACCCGCTATAGGAACTGTCCACCTCCTCCTGCTGAACAGCAGGCACCAGGAACCATGGGTGGGGCGCCTACTATGTGTGTACACAGTAGGCACCAAGAACGTGACGGGGAGAAGGCAGCGCTTAAAAGGCAGGGCGAGGGACTTGGGTTTGTCCTAAGAGTGACTTCCCAGGGGAAGTAGCCAAAGATGTGAACATCCTGGGTCTCTGGAGGCCAGTGCGAGCCTGTGGTCAGTGTTAGGACTCCTCAGGGTTTGTGGCTGCCCAGAGCAGTTCTCGAGACACTGGGCATCTGTGTGATTGTTAGACCTGGGGAACGTCAGCGCTGCAGAGTAAAAACATAAGGTTCCTTTGTCCAGCTCCATGAACTGGTGCGGAGGCAACGCTTTGCACAGGCCCTGTAACAAAATGAGAAAAATATGGGCAAATTAAACTGGAACAACGCAGTTCATTCTTTGATTAAAAGGATTCTCCCTTATCCTGACCCTATGCTCTTCCCATATTTTGGAATTAAAATGTCTCCATAGGAAGTGTCCAAGATTTCTTGCCATATTGCGGGGCGGGAGGGGAGTAGAAATTTGACCCCAATTCTACACCATTCTAAAAAGGAAATCCCAGGTTGATAAAGTCCTAAATGTGAAAGGCAAGCTTCTAGAAGATTACAGAGACTATCTTCATGACCTTGAGGTAGAGAACGGTTTCTTAATTAAGACAGAGAGGTCTGATTTCTTCTAACCATAAGAGGAAAGATAAATTTAACTACATTAAGAACTCTACTCATCAGAAGACACCATCAAGCCCTGGCCAGTGTGGCTTAGTTGGCTGGGTGTCGTTCTGTGAACCAAGAGGTTGCCGGTTCAATTCCTGGTCAAGGCACATGCCCGGGTTGTGGGCTCAACCCCTGGCAGCTGATTAATGTTTCTTTCTCCCTCTCCTTTCCTCACTCTCTAAAAATCAATAAAAATATTTTTAAAAAATGCTTGTCCAAGAACCAGAGGTGGGAAGGCATAGTCACAGCAAAGGCTTCAGGTGGCCAGGGGGCTTGCGGAGAGGCACTTGCAGAGACACTTACAGGACGCGGGTTACTGTGCGGTGAACCTGGAGTACCTGATCTAGGAACCTGGACCCAACCCTGTGGACACCGAGGAAGCTCTCCCTGCGGGTCACCAGCTTAAACACTGAGGCACGGCCGTGAGTACTGTCGAAAGGAGAGATCGGGTCAGCACGAGTCCTCCAGGTCATCCCATGTGCTGCTTTCTTAGGAGGCTGGCACTGGCTGCTGGCCAACGGGGAAGCAGGCCAGAACCCCCACCCCCAACATGAAGGGCACTTCTCGAAAGACAGGTCAAGTACGACTGTACGCAGGGCAAACGGGATAATTTTATTCTCATTTTTCTTTAAAATAAAGATACAGTAGGAGTTTTACAATTCAGTATGATTAGACTCGATGTATAATTTTAACATTCTTTTTAAACAAATGACAACAGAAACAAAGAACTGATACAGGTGATAAAACTTACTAGAGCAAAGGGAAACTACCTTTTGGATCAAACATGTGCCAAGATAAACTTTCTTGGAAAACTTTCTGAGATTTCTAAGCTAAACTTCCCTAGAAAGGGTTTATAGAAAGACTTGAATCTCAAATCTTTAAACCACTTTTGCAGCCACCAAATGCTTTTACCGACTTGTTAATCAAATGCTTCCTAAGTTTAGGGGCCAATGACCGAGTGCCCTGAAACAGATAAGTCTTCATCCTATTTTTCCAGCTATAAATTATTCATGTTTCCAGCAAACCAAGTGTTTCCTAAGCACAGAAGCTTTCTAAAAACTTCAATCACCTTTTCTGGCTCAGTACCTGACTGAAATGTTCAAATGTTTAGATTGCACACACATACAAAACAAAAAAAAATTTTGAGCAGCATACTTTGTGTGTGTGAGAAGCTGATGAGAAATAAGACTGGAAAACCCCCTAAATTGTGTCCCATTCACATGATTTAAATATATAGTTTCTATATCTTTAATTAAGTAAAAAGGTAAACTTTAGAACAGCACAGAAATACAAATGCATTAGTTTTACAAAATATATTCAACCCCTCTACGTGCACAGACTTGTAATTTGGAGTCACCCTACAAGGGAGCTAGCTCACTCTCCTACACACCGAAGCGGGAAGTCATGTGTACAAAGTTATTTACATGGAAAGAACAAAGACCCACATCCCTTTTCTTTGTCCTTGACAACTATGCATGGAATGTTGGAAATTATGAAAAGACAATGCCAATGTTGTGAAGTTCAAAGACTTGGAATGAAAAAACTCCCAGGGCACCTTGCACTCCACGGAGCGACAGTCACCTTCTAGAAACCTGGGCTGCGGTCTCTGGCGTGCTGAAAGGCTACCACAGAAGCGGGGAAAGGCCACGCACGCGAGCCACCTCTGGCCACAGAATCAGAGCATGCAAATGTGGATGCCATTTCGAGTCCGAACTGAATCCCTGATAAAAGGACACCGTCCGAATAGGCTACTTTCCCAAACTGAAGCAGACACAAGTTCATGAGGTTGGGGATCTGTCCCCTGGCATCTCACAGAGTTGGGGGCTCCCAAACTCATCACCACTGGCTGTAACTTCCACAAAACACAAAATAAAGACAAAGCCTGCCTGCAGGAAGGTAACTTCACAAATTCCTTTTAAATTTATCGCCAGCAGATTAAAACATTAACTCCTCTATAAAAGAATTCTTACCTCTAGCGTAGGAAATACGGCTCTCAAAATACTTCCATTCACATTTTTATAAGTAACTCACTCCTCAGCCTTGCACCGACTTCTCACTTCTCTCTCTTCCTAATTTGCTTTCTCCTTGCGTTTCCAAACTAAATTATTCTAAAAAAAATTCAATGCTTGATACAGAACTCAGAAAGCAAGAGAAGGTTGCAGAAATCACGTCATAGGGTCTGGTTTGCTGCCCAAGGATATTGCTGCTATTTCTTACAGCAAAAAGGAGATGGGGGTTGTTTTACGGCTGGGAGGCTAACAGATCACAGAATGGATTCGGGGCAGACTATTCATACAGGTTATAAGAACCAAATGCAGATGCAAAATAACTCTAAGCCTTCCTCTGACATGCAACTTTTTCATTCACCTAGACCAAGACAGTAGCTTTAACTCTTTTCTTTCCTTACCTGTGTCACTGGCATGACAGTGCCTGATAGGAATTAAAGTATGCCAGGGACTTTCCCCAAACACTGCTTTTAAGTCACCTAGACAAACAGGAAGGCCACTGTCAAGGTACAGATGCAGGCTGTGTGCTGGGCACACCCTGCAAAGGCCTGGCTGACCCTAGTTCCCTTAGGCCTACTTACACATACTCGGTTCTTAGACACAAAAGGACTGGAGCAAGCACGGCCAACCAAAACACACACCCTTACAGTGACATGTCAGAAGATGGCCTGATGTTGGCTCCTGTGACTCAGAGCCAGTGACTGAAGGAGGCTACTGCTTCTGGGCTGGCCACCCAGCTGGAGCCTAGAGACCAAGCCTCTGCACACGGCTCAGAGGCCGAGTGGCCCAGCTTCCTGCCGTCAACCATGCTGGCTGTCCTGAGGCCCCTGCCCACAACGTAATGGCCTCTGCTCCCTGAAAACCCCACGCCTCCCAGAACCTGAAGGAAAGAGAGCTACGGTCTTTTGACTATTTCTATGACCAAAGTTCTATCTTCTGAAATATTCACTTTATGCTGAAAGCCAGTTAAATGACATTGAACTCTTAACTAGAAACATTAATAACAGAAAGTTCATTTAAGGTGGATATTAAATGGGGAACACGTGACACTAAGTCAAAGTGAGATTTCATGTAATTATATTTCAGTGGGATTCAAAGTGTGGACAGGCTGCTTTTGATGAGAGAGAGGGGAGTTGATCCTATCACACGAACCACTCGAACTAATGGATGAGCCGCAGCTGCTGGCGACCCCTCGCAGGGCTCCTCCCTGGAGCGTCTGGCCGTCCAGGGGTAACAAGCTCACTAATACCCTGTCACTCCAACCAGTGAGGCGGCTCAGAATCCACACGCTGTGAGGAGGGACCCTTCACCGTCTCAGTGCAACTGATTAAATGCCATTTTTAGGGTTTGTTTGGTTTTACTTCTCTTTAAGTAATATTTCCTGAGAAGGGAAACTTTCCAAGCAGAAGTGGAATTAATGGAGTTTTCACAATAAGCCCTTTAATTTATCATCACTGAATTCTTTTTTATATATATATATATAATTATTTGTTTTTAAACTTTACTGAATTTACTGGTGTGACACTGGTCAATAAAATAACATAGGTTTCAGGTGTACAATTCTGTAATATATCATCTGTATATTGCATTGTGTGTTCACCACCGCAAGCCAAATGGAAATATGCTTTCAGATTTGCTGGACTTGTGTTGAAACACGAACTGGAAAATTTAGGGATATTTAGATTATGTCCTATGACCATTTCACATGCCCTAGAAGGACTTATGTTACATAAACATTTCCTAAGGGGTAAATCAAATATAACCAAGTGTCATCCCTAATTAGGCCCCCTACCTCCCCACTATGCTTTGTATCATGTGTAGATCCTACTCACTATGTAGTTTCCAAGTGTCCTTTGTTACTGAAAAAGCAGGCTGTCCCCTGTACGTACTCCCTGAGAACACCCATCCCACACCCCCATGAAAAGCAAGGAGAGCCGAGCACGCAGACACGTGAGGTCCAGCTGTGTGAAATCTGCGGGAGACAGCACACACGTGCACGTATCTGAATGAAACCAGATGTCCATTATGAACATGACTGATGTGTCACGGCTGTAGTTTTCCTGTCCTGCGTCTTGCTTTCCTAAATGTGAGCTAAGATGAGACTTCTATTTAATATTTACAGATCATCTTGCTTTCCTTTTAAAAACACTTTCAGACGGGGTCGATCACAGAATTTCCCATCAGGGAAGTAGGAAAGTCAAGAGCCTTGAAAAGCTTACAAAGAACAAGACTAAGAAAAAACCTGCAGGTCTGTAAACACCCAATGGAAAACCGGTCAAAAGAAGAAATAGAAGGCACAAACGTGGGGTTAAAATGCGTGTAAGAGATTACAACACGACTGGAGTGGACAGAACTGACACAAGCTCTTCTAAAGCCTCGCCCTAAATACCTGCTCATGCTCAATGGCGCCGTCGCCCGGCACCCGCCACTCCCTGTCCCTCTGCTCTGCCTGAACAACTGGAAGAGAAGGAAAAGCACAGCGACACTCCTTGGGCCTCAGAACAAGTGTGGGAAAGAATAAATTACACAGGAAGCAAACCCTGCGTCCTCAGAACCCCCACCAGTGACTTTCACGTTTCTGGGAGGAAGTGAATTGACAGTTTGTAGGTAGAAAACCAACCACCAAAAAAGAGTCATCATATAACTCAGCAAAAATAATAACCAAGGGCTGGCTTTACAGCCCCTTAACTTTATAAGCACATTTTAGGGCCAACTTCAGAGAAATTAAAATACTAATATAACAATTTTAGCACTAATAAATTATAGTGGCCATCCAGCTATTCAGACAGCAAAACAGAACAACATTTACATAAGTAAAAACTTTCCTAAGTAAACAAGTGTATACTGTCAGAACTTGAAAAATCATTAGAAGGGACACTGTGTGTTTTAATGAGGCTCAGACTGAAATAGAAGTAGTCGATTTAAACCCCAACCTGGAAAGCCATCCCTGCTATGGTTGTGATTTCATCTTTTCAGCATCCTGTGACATTCATTTAGAAAGAGGGCGACCGTCCATGTAAACAGTTCGACGCATCGGTCCCCCGCTGTGGACCTTCGGCCGACGAAGAGGAACAGTCTGGGAGCAGCAAACAGACAGGGGACACTTCGACCTAAGACAGCAACAGCAGCCTCTGGACCCCGTGCTCAGGGCTTCCCGTGGGGCGGCTCAGTGAGGCTCTGGGCGGTGGAGCCGGTGAAGGTGGAAAGCCAAGAGGACATAGCCGTCTTCGCGCTGGAAAGGGCTCCTCCCACTGACTGGCCTGGAAGGAAACGGGGGACACAAAAGGAAAATGCCTTCACTTTAGTTAAGGGACAGTGAAAGAATGACACAGACCTCTACAACTTTACATTTCTGCCAATGACATTGAGAACACAGAGGAGCTGTGCTATGGTTTCCACCTGCTCTCGGCTGAGGTGCGCCTTACCGACAGCTTTTCCTGTCTGGACAACATTCCGGCTGGTTGTGACCATGACGCTTCCAATTTTTTTGCCACGCTCACTGTTTTGAACAGAACTGAGTAAAGGAAAGAAGTGTTACGCGAAGAAAAAAATTTCTCTCATACACACCACTCCATAACCATCCCCCAGTGAGAATTACTGAGAAAGGAAGCTAAATTATTCATTATTTGTTATGCATCAATTAATTTAATTAAGCATGTGACTTTTCGGAACAATACTGAAAGAACATGCAGAGGCACCAAGAAGCAGTAGGGACATAAGGCTGTCTAACTCGCCCCAGTCAGGATTTGCCGAAGCTACTCCACCAGAATACAAATGGCAAATCCTGCTACTAGCTGGCACCACTCTTCAGCGAACAGCAGTGTTTTCGCTTTGAAACATACACACTGCAGAGCTGGAGACGGCTGGGCACATATTCGGTGACTATTTGAAGCTCAAGTCTATCAAGTGCAGAAAAACAATCCCCAATTAGCCATGAAACACGTGGCATAAACCCAGGCTCAGACTGCTCCTGGTACGTTCTCGAGATACTCACTGTGAGAATCTTAGCTTCATGTCTGACACAGAGTACTGGCCTTGAAAGGGGTGGCTGTAAAACAAGGTTTCAGTTTAGACTGTGAGGGTTTCGCCCATAAAGCCACAGAACAGTTATCACGGGGAGCGCCGGTGAACCTCACAGGGGAGACAGGCAAGGGGCGGGCCTCTGGGAGGTTAATCCACGGGGTGTCACCCCAGCTCTCCACCTGCAGGTAGGGGAGCTTTTCTGGCTTGTTACCTTCCCTGTGAAATAGGTGTTTTTTTCTAGGGTGTGTAAGGGGCGCTGTGTTACTGATGTTGATTTATTTGGTCGGGGGTAGGCCCCAAGCATCAACATTTTTTAAAAAGCTCCCCAGGACAGCCCAGGGTTAAAGTCAGGGACTTGGGCCATGGCTATGGCCTGCACTTCGATCCTGGCCGTCTTAGAAACATGGGTCATTGGCTATACAAAGATCTGTAGACAGACCTGTAAAATCTGTACTTTCTGTTAGCAAAGCAACTCAAAAACGCAGGTCTTAAAAATATACAAAAGGCAAAAGGTACACTTATAAAATCAGGCAACTTAACCAAAGTCACACTATGAAAGGAGTCGATAAGTATCCAAATTCTTCTTTCACACTCAGAGTCTCTGTCAAAGTCACACAAAATGACCCTAATGAAATCCAGAGCAAATTATAAAAACATCACAGTGCCACCCATGGCTTTCCAAATGGCCAACTTCTTTCTTGCCACATGAAGCATATTAATGATTTCTCTTTTTTTCTGGATTCCTGAATCACAGGCTGAAAAAATGGAGAGATCTAAGCTTCTTATGGGATTGCGATAAAATCTGCGAGTTGGTTCAAGTTAAAGGGCCTATAGCAGATGTGTGACTGATAAAGACCCGAACGGGTTTGGGTGCCACGGGGGGAGAGGCGGATGCCCCCGCTGCGCCGTGGGTGGCCGTGACCTGCCCCAGCCCAGCGCCACCAGCAGACACGCTCACGTTGTTTCTCTCCCTCACTCCAGCACACAGGCCCTGCGGTTAGCGAGGGAGACCTGGAACTCAGCCCTTTCCTTTAGTGCTATTACCATGCTTTGCCTTTTAATTCTGTGTTCACCACATTCAAATGGCAATATAGGTTTCTGACTAAAGTCACCCAAACTCGTGCTGAACCTAGTCATTTCCCTGACAGATGACACACAGTTTAACAGCCATGCTCTCCACCACCTCATTTTTGTGGACGCTTCCCCAGTTACTGGGACTTAAACATCTGGGTTTCCTGTGTGGGCGGGAAAGTCCTTTCAGCACCACTGACGTCATCACACCCCCGTCCAGCTAAGCCAACCCTCGCTTCCAAGTAACATGGCAGCCAGCACGAAGCTGGTTTTTGTCTGATTCCCACCAAGACGTAAAAGTTTAAAATACATTCTGTGTATGCTTGTATCATAAAAAACCCCACTGCCCTGGCCGGTGTGGCTCAGTTGGTTGAGCGTTGTCCTGTGCACCAAAAGGTGGCCGGTTTGACTACCAGTCAGGGCACAAGCCTGGGGTTTTGGGTTCGATCCCCACTCGGGGTGTGTATGGGAGGCAACCGATCAGTGTTTCTCTCACACTGTTTCTCTCTCTCTCCCTCCCCCTTCTTCTCTCTCTAAAGTTAATAAAAACATTTTTAAAAATATGTGTTAAAAAAACATTATCATTTTAAACTTTTAACTTAGAAAAAATAAGGTCCCAGCCTGTACACATTTATCAATTGATCTACTTAGACTGCACTCAGTTCCTTCCACACAAAGATGGTATTATTTCGTAACGGCCCCACTCCGCAGCATGTCCAAATGTCTTTTATACCAAAAGACATTTGGACACGCTGTCAACAGTCCAGTCAACAGTCAGTACTGTGACAGGAATTAAATGGTGCTGGGTTTTAAAATCTGATGTGAAAGCTAGTTTCACCACCTATCTAGGAGTTCACATATCGTTAGTTTTTCATGCTTCATGTTTTAAAATAACCTCTGCTGAACCAGTGATTATTTCCACCTTGTTTGACCATGTGCTACAGTACGGGCCCAAGGGGAGGGGACACTGAAAGGTCCCAAGCCTCTCGACGGTCAGCACTTCCTGTCTTAATCACCCTGAGGGCCGGGAGACACTCAGGCCTTCCAAACATTTTTGGGGTAAGAAGTATGAGTGGGGAGATAGTTTTCAGCTGCTTCTCTGTATCTGGGGGCCCCTTCTAATCCACTTCAGGAGATTCCTGAAGACATTCACAGTATCATCAGTTAGGGCAGGGTTTTCTCTACGCTGGGCACAGGAGTAAGTGACCCATCCTGTGTTCTCTCTCTGTCTTTGATGGACATGCTTACTTGGGATTTATTTCCGCGAGAGCCGGGTGCCTGTTGCTGTTCCAGACCCTGTAGTTGTGCGTGTTCTTCCATGCCGCCACAAAGGTTGTCCCATAGTCCGAGAGGATCTTTTCATTACCTGTCAAGTAAATATGTGAGAGTCCAGCTGGACTGTCACCAGTCAGGGGTGTGAAGATGAACAACCAAAAAGGGTGAAGGGACAGTTTCAGCCCTCTGCCCCTGCTTTTCGGGGAGGTAGTCTACCAGATGTCAGGAAACTTGGGTCTGACTCCACACATCCTGTGAAGCTATGTGGCCTTTGGCCAGTCACTTAATCACCGAGAACATCATTTTCCTAAATGGAAAGGAAGAGGGGGGACCCAGAGATTGTCTAAGGCTCCTCAACGCCAAGATTCGGCCGCACTCTCCTTACCAAGGCGAGGAGGCACAGTGTTGTTTATTATACAAACCACAGGCTGGGCAGTGAGACAATGTTCTGATGTTTACACGGGGAGTAGGCAAGGAGGGGAAATTTTATCTTTTCACAGATGTCATTGTTCCTAAGAAAAACATTAGAATGGATACATGAACTGGTTCTTTTAGCCACTATTTTCTCTTCTTTGGAATCTTGCTATTTGGTAAAACTCACTCTGGAGTTTCCATGCATTTTGCTGTCAAAATGTAGGGTGTCCCCCCCAAAAATGTATACACATACATTTTTAGATGGCTCAATTGTCGTTTCTCTTTCTTTTTTTTCAGATTTAACCCACTGGAATTAATAATTATTCAATGTATGTATGTATGTATACATTTTGGGGGGGACACCCTGTACTTAAAACAACCAGGAAATTTTTGTATTTAATGTTTAAAATGTTTCAGCTTTATCAGTATCATGGGGACGTTTCAATGCAGGTGTTTCCTCTACTTAGAATAGAAAAGGGCTGGAGAAGGGATTCCAGTGGCTCTGGCTTCATATTTGATTGCAAGTCACTTGCTTTGAAGGTGAAAGGTGACGTTTGTCGCTGGGAAAGGAAGGGGGGGATACACATGGTCCCACGGGCTGCATAAAGAAGTTCTTTTAAGAACACATCCCCCATACAGTACACTGGGTTGAATTCCCTTTAGCAGCATGGAACTGAGCCAGACTTCGTGGGATTAAATACCAGCTCAGCCTCTCACCAAGGGGGTGAGCGAGCCGCTTAAATCACTTTTCTGTGCCTCACTTTCTCTTCTGAGGATGACAAGGTATCTACCTCCAGGATGCTATGAGGGTGACGTGGGTCAGTAGATGTCAAAACAAGTCCCTGCACATATTAAATGTACCCCCCCAGTTAGCTACTATTATTCAGTTCTGACAGCTACCTGGGCAAACATTTTTTAAAGGTAAATGAGTTACTTGTGAAGCTACATGACTGGTGGGGACTGGGGCTTTCTTACTAGATTACTGCATGGTCCTGGGTCACAGGCTTGGATTTGGTGTCTCAGCTGCTACATTTGTAGAACAGGCAGACATTTAAAAAGATCCCACTAACAATAAGAACTTGCACCGTACCTTTCCTCTCCCAATGACAAACATGCCTGAGGCCTGGGGGTAAACTCCACACATATGACAAGAACTAACTCGGGAGGTGGTAGTGGTGGGTTGATTGAAACAACCTATGGACACAACAGTGTGAATGTACTTAATGCCACTGTGGAACTAGACACTTAGAAATGGTTCAGAAGGCAAATTTTAGGTTATGTGTATTTCACGATTAAAAAACACACACAAAAGCCCGGCGAGCATGGCTCAGTGGTTGAGCATCACCTGTGAACTAGGAGGTCACGTTCGATTCCAGGTGAGGGCACAGGCCCGGGTTGTGGACTCAATCCCCAGCAGGGAGCATGCGAGAGGCAGCTGATCAATGACTCTCTCATCATTGATGTTTCTCTCCCTCTCCCTTCCTCTCTCTGAAATCAATAAAAATATATTAAAAAAACAACCCAAAACCAGTGGTAGAGATAAGTGAGGGGAAAAGAGGAAAAAAACAAAAGCTCAGCACACTCTGACCACCACCAATAACTGTATCACCTAACCACTCCATGTCCAGTGGCCGGTGTCCATGGTACAAGAGCTCATGACAGAGCTTCACTTGGTCTTTTTCTACATTTTTTTCTACGGGGAATGAGCTGGCTTTTATGCGGGAGTGATTCTGTGTTTCCCTGCTCCGCGTTAACCATTTTTCTACAATGAAGACATATTTCTTACATAATTCAAACGACTGCTACAGAGCGAAGAGGCGGCACGTGCTCCTCACCTGGCTGCAGCGTGGCGGCCAGCAGCGCGTGGATGTAGACGGCAAACTGGGCTCGGATCCACTCGTCGCCCCCCTCCCAGCCCGTGCCGTCCAGGAAGACGTCGTCCCGGTTCTCAGTCACGTGCTTCACCAGGTAGTCTGCGAACCTGAGGTCGGCAGTGGTGGGGCTGAGCAGCTTCCTGAGTTCTGGGTCGTGGATCTGGATCAGGGCTTCTTCTACCTACAGGTATCCGGGTACAAGTCAGAGTCGGGGCATTCACGCGGATATCCAAGCCACACTTTAAAGAGCAACTACTGGGAGGTTGGAGCTGGAAACAAAAAGTATGGATACTAGCATTCTCAAAAGGTGAGTCTAAGAAAGAGACAGGTGTTTACACTCAAGTATTTTTCTTTATTTAAAAAGTACTCGCTTTCTATCTCAAGTATATGTATAACTGTTTAATTTTGAATTATAAAAGTAATTCATATTTATTGTACCTATTTTGGAAAATATAGAAATGTATGGTGTCACCTTTATCACACAAGCCAGAAATGAATACAGTTAAGAAGATTTCCTAAAATGTTTTCCTTTGAGTGCACAGATACTCTGGAGTATTTTTATTATATAATATTTGAAGTGCAAAGAAGCATACGTAACTTACAGGTTAGTTTTGAAGGTTAATAAAACAAATACCCATGAACCTGCCAACCAAGTTCGGAGCCAGAATGTAACCAATACTGTTGCAGCAACTCTGAGATGCTCCTGCCTGTATTCCTCTGCCTTGGAAGGTCTGTCCATAGCTTTCCTCGTCAAAATCAGGATAAAAGCACCTAAAGCTTTGATTCCCCACCCCTCTTAAGTCACTTAAACTGTAAAGTGGAACAAATGACTTAAACTTCTAATATATTGATAAGATGTAAAATTTTTTTTCGCTAGCTCCTTGCTCTTGATATCATAAGCATATTAAACAGGCTAGGAGTATTTAAATCATTTAAACAAGAAACACATTTTAATTGTAAGACTGTAGTAGGACCAAACTGCCTGGATTGGGGTCTTGGCTCACTCACTATTCTTGCTGTTTGATCTCTCTGTTCATTTGCCCCCATGGGTATCAAATAGGGATGTTAACACACAGGTTAACCTATCACACAGGTTGTCATGAGAATTAGACCAGTTAACATGCCTGAGGCGCTGACAATGCCTGGCACAGGAAGCAGTTATCACTACTATTAGTGTTATTATCAGGCCCTCCTAATCCCATTTAAGAAAGGAAACCAGGGACCAGCAGCGTAGAGGACACTTATCCATAAACCTACTTCCACGATGGCATCACTGAGGTGTTTCTGTTGTCGAAAAAGGATGTTAGTAGCTCCAGCAACAAATCCCCGGACGGTGACATCAGAGAGAAGGTGATGCTGCTGCAATGCCATGTAAGGCAGACACAGATACCCCTACGAATCACAAGAGTAACACAAAATATTAAAAGGTAATGGAATCATCACCTGTCTCCTCAAGTCCAGAGAGCTAATCGTAGGAAAAGAGACTCCCGATTTCCTCCCACCTCTGCGCCATCCCAAAAGCAGCTGACTCTGGACTCACTACAATGTCAGGTCGTGACTGCATTAAGACCAATCGCTAACCTTCTCAGGAATGGCCTTCACAACTTAGTCCAACATGAAGGCTGTCTCCCTGGATCACTCTGTTCTTGGTTCATCTTAAAAGCCCCCACAGTAACTGACAAGCTGGACTTTTTCATTTAGGAACTGAAATATTAAGCCCATGCAAAAGTACGTTGTTTAGTAGAAAGCTGTTAGTTCTTCCAGCAAAATTTTACAACACCCACATCTGCACACAACCTCCGACGTATTGTTAGAAACGCACAGCGCTGATTAGCACGTTTTATTGTCCTCTCGTTAAAAATTATGCAAAACTACTCAAGATATCTGCTCCTAAATACTTAAAGCAAAAATGACACTTGGCAGTACTAGAGTATTTAATTAATTTCCATTTGAACTGTATTTGAGACTACCACTGCCCTGAGAATTAGTTATATCACTAGCCACAGCTGGCAGGTAAGTGTACAAAAAGCAGAGTATTTCCTGAGAATAAAGGAGTTAACACTGAATGGCGTGCTGGAGGAGGGCATGGAATTTCTGCCGACTCTAAATCAAGATAGATTTCCAACAAGTGGCACAATCTGTGCATGGAGCCAGGAGTGCAGGCTTGCTAAAGCCCTGAACTTGTTTTCAATCTCAGGTTCTACGGCAGTTTAATTTTTTTCTTTTACTTTTCATCGCTTTGCTAAGAACGCTGAACTACTGTTTTCTGGATGCTGCCTTGTTTACATCACAGCATGCGACTCTGAGGGCAGGAGCTGTCCCTCAGCTAGTTCATGCTCTTCGAGGCAGCTAGGATGTGCCTTGTACCCGACAGTGGCTGCTGAAGACCTACTATGGGAGAGAAGACTCCGAAAGTGGAATATGGGTCCAGTAACTTGGTTTTAACCTTAGTCTTGACAATGTTGTCCTCTGCTCGGGAAAATGCTACTTAATAGCAGCCGAGAGAAATCCCCGTCTCTGCGTCAGAGGCACTCAGCCCAGCCCGCTCGGCCCACGCCCTGTGACCGAGGCTGGAAGGCCCCTGCTCCTCGCGCAGGAATGGTCCAAGGCCTGTGGGGCTCGGGGCTCCTGCTTTACTTTATGTGACGCGTATTGTAGAACAAGAGGCTCCTCTCTCTGCCCTACTGTCTGTTTCTAAACATAAATATTACAGTACTGAATGCTCTTTCAAACAGAATACTCACCCCCCCAACTATAACTGAGAATCCCAGATGAAGGTGTTCTCAGAACTGACAATTATTACAAAAATTTTATATTGCAAGACAGTAATAAGAGGATTTAATTGTTCGTAGTATTACATTCATAATTTATACTGTAAGAGCAAGAAAGTCTATGGTCAACAGCGGAATCTTGGCTAAGTCTATAGAACTATGAAAACTCAGAAGTAATTTAAAAAAAAAGTTCAAAGTTTTTTAAGAATATGAAAAAATACATTCATTAAAAATACATATTCAAAATAAACAAGAAAAAAAAAGAGCAAACGACAAATACATAGTCATACTCTCTGACGCAGCATTCTACTTCTTATTTATCCTACAGACACACCAGCTCATGTGCGAGATTTGTAAAAAGTGATTTATTGCATCGCTGTTTACTAATGAGAAAGGCTGGAATCCCAGCCACTCACGAACAGGACTGAACAAACGTTCACCCGCACCGTAAAACGCGGCACAGACGAAGAGCGCGAAGCTCATCCCAAGGAGTATTTTGTACAAAGAGGACAAGGGGCATAAAGCCAGGTATAGTCTGCCCGGTCTGTGTAAGAAGGGGAGGGAAAGTATCTGTGCATTTATTCACGCAGAAAATACCCCGGAAGGAGACAGAAGACACTGATAACGCTGGTGGCCACTGGACAGGGCAGGCGCGGAGCAGGGACGAGGGAGTGAGGGGGGCTTGTGCCATCACCCCATCTGAATACTGAGCCATGTAAAGATATTACATATTTATAAAGTTATTTAAGGTGCTAGTTCAAAAAGCTTTACTTTTTTGCTATCATTACTTTTAAAAGCAACGATCAAATGAGCCTAAATCTTTTAAAAGTTTCTAACATACAATGGCAGCAAGAGCGCGGGTCTCCCACATACAGCAGCCTCTGCACCCGAGCCCACTCCACCCGTTTCCATTTCCCTGGGGTACATTAACTTCCACGTTTGCAGCTGCAGTGTATGTGAGTACAACATGACACTATGGCCTGTACACTAAAATGGTGAAGACAGTAAACTTTATGTTTTTTACCATAAATAAAAAACAAGTAAACAACTCGCCCACCCCCACCACACACACCGCAGCGTGGTGAGCCTGGTAAACTATCGGACATGATCTGCTAAAGAGCAGCAAAATGCACTGTGCCTTCCTTCCCTCTTGCCACTTGGAAAGGGCTACAATCTGATCAGGACCAACGGCCGTTTCTCAGCTGGCCTCTGGGCAGGGATGACAAGCCAGCTCATGAACTGAAAGCCTCCACACTGCAGGGACGCCCGGATCGCTCCAAAATTTATCTAGGGTTTAAAGGTAACCCTATCAAATCTCAACCTGTGTGAGAACTTAAGTTGATCTTAAAATCGATGTGGAAATACTAAGAGCTAAGAAATTCTTTCTATTATTATATTTAAATTTTAAAAATGAATTTACTGGGGTGACAGTGGTTAATAAAATTACATAGGTATCAAGTGCACAATTCTACAACACATCATCTGTACATTGTGTTGTGTGCTCACCACCCCAGGTCAAGTCTCCTTCCATCACCATTTATCCCCCCTCACCCTCTTCTACCTCCCACCCCCTTTCCCTCTGGTCATCACTGTTGTCTGTGTCTATCCGAGTTTTGTGGGGGTTTTAAAATTAATTCCTTCACCTTCACCCAGTCCCCAACCCCGCACCCCTCTGCCAGCTGTCAGTCTGTTCTCTATCTATGAGTCTGTTTCTATCTTGTTTGTTAGTTCTGCCCACTGGATTCCACATGTAAGTGAAATCCCCTAGTATTTGTCTTTCTCTGGCTGTAGAGCTAAGAGACTCTTGAAGAACAGGAGGGGAAGGCTTTTCTCTGCCTGACATGACCCCAGTGGTAATTAACAGAGTGGGGCTGCCCCACGGGTAGACAAATACACCAGTGGGAAAAACAACAGAACGTCTAGAAACAGACTCCCTTCCTCAACCATACACAAAAATTAATTCCAGGTAGATAAAAACCAAAGTGTGAAAGTCAAACCTATAAAGATAAATCAGGAGACTGTTCCCAGTCTTACGCTATGGCCACAGATGCCACAGCGGCACACTTTTGGTGTGTATTTTAGTTCTCAAGGAAAATTTTCAGATCTGAAAACGTGTGCAATACTGAGTTAAATTCTGAAAGGACACTGTCGGCTTCTCTAAGGACACTGGGCTTTACCTTCGTGAAGATGGCCAGGGGCATGCCGTACCGGTCCTCTTCTAGCCCCGAAATCAGCCCTGGTATCAGGGCCACCTGGCCCGCGTTAGCTTGGGGCTGCACAGTGATCGGAGCACTGTCTGAGGGCACCGACTCCTTTGGAAACGAGTTCGTCTGTTCTGACCCCACCGGCTCCCTTTCTTTCAAGGTGGGGTCCTCCAAGACACTAGGATCCAAGGTCTCCCAGTCACTTTCTGAAGACTCTGGAGACGGACGAGAAGGAGGTTTCAAGTACGGATTGCTGTCACTGAGTTCCTGTCCTTTGCTGCTGTCTTCTACTGGGAACAAAGGTTCTTCTGTCTTGATGGCAGCATCTCCTCCGTGGCTTCCTGTCATGGTTTTCTTGACAGTTTCCGAGCTGGTGTATGAAATGTTGGGAGCAGACACGGACACAAAATCATCTGCAGGGGGGTTATTTTCCTGAAGCCCAGCATCTTCAGACATGCTCTTTCGGGGCTTGTACTGAGAACAGTCACTGAGACCATGCTCGATCATGCCTGAAACAAAACATGGGGGGCAGGTTGGTTTATACTGAGGTATTAGAGCTGCGCATTCTGTCCTAATAGCGGGCTCTCCAGGAAGATGTTAGTGAGCTATGCTTGCATCCATTCCGATTAAAACTAATGAAAATGCCAGACCAAACAAAAAGACGTACTGCCCAAATGAAAATGTCCAATAGAAATGTTAACCCTAATGAGTTTATCCTTGAACACGTGTCATTGAAAGTTCCAGTAAAGTCAGACGAAAGAAGGAATAGGTACTGCTACCCTCTTACCTGGAAAGAGGGATAACACGGTCATCAGGGCACCCACCAACTTGTTCACTGGAGAAATATAAAAGAGAACCTGAAGTGGATTCAATGAAAATCCAATTAGAAAATCCGAGTCCACAGTGGTACTTCAAAAAAGGGGGGGTGGGACCTCTTTACAGAAGAATGACAGCTAATAAGAACAGAATTAATGACAGAATTAGAAAATCACCAGGCGTCCACCATAATCCAGGTAAAAATTACCGAGAGAGAAAGGAGAGAGAGAGACACATCAATTGGTTGCCTCTCGCATGTGCTCTGACCAGGGCCGGGGATCGAGCCTGCAACCCAGGTATGTGCCCTTGGCCAGAATCGAACCCGGGACCCTTCAGTCCACAGGATGGTGGTTCTTCAAACTGAAAACGGAACTACCACATGATCCAGCAATACCCCATCTGGATGTATACCCCGAAGAACTGAAAGCAGAACGCAGTCAAGCTGCCCCCAGGAAAAAACTGCAGGAATTTATACTTCTATGGCAGTAAACAAGAATATGGGCTTCGGCTCACCACAATTTGATAGGCAAAAAAGATAATTTATACTTTATCATTAGTTCAAATTTTATATGACATTTAAGAAATGTCAATAAATGTTAAATTTTTCATCCCTTCAAATCTCACCTTTTTTTCAAGAAGAATTAACTTAAACAGAATTAAGACCTGAACAAAGAAAGAAATACTGTATTAAAATAAGAAACGCAAGCCTATTACATATTACCCTTTCCCCTCCTCAAACATACCATATATCATTTAATCAATAATATTAAATAATTACAGTGCTTTAAACAAATGCATTGGAAACTGTGAACTTATACTACCTGTGCCCTCTAAAAAATGTGAGAACCATGTAAGTCTCTAACAAATTGTGCTTTTCGGAAGAAGCTATCCCATTTTTGCTTGAAATACAAGCTCCTTAAAGGGTGGGAACTATTCATTTATTTCTGAATATGTCCAGAGAATTCACATAGCAGATACTCAGTAATTGCTCATTAAATGAATGATTGACGTGCGCATGTCTTAGTCAACATATGCTTCAGTACTAAAGGTCAGAAGAAATAAATATAGATATTTTACTGGAAAATGTTTCACTCTTAAAGCAACACATAAAATATTCTGCAAGATTACGTGTGTCTTCCCACTCTAATTTCATGATATATGAAATTACAAAGACAATGGAAAAAAGTACTCTATCCTGCATTGAAATAAACAAATGGCATCTGTGTACCTTTAGAAATTTCTCATACAAGCACTACCAACACTTTCTGCTCTGTGTCATTATGAGACATGTCTTAGAAGGACTAAAACATGGTTATGCACGATCTGCATCTGAGCATTAGCACATGGAATCTGCCCAGCTGAATGAACACAATTGTAGTACATCAAAAGTTAAATAAGGTGTCACACATACCTTGTGTCGAAAATGAAGCACAAGATCGCGAGGAGACAGACCTACGATGTTAACAAAAAGGCTAATCTGTAACTACAACCCGATGTTTTCATCCAAAAAGTATTTCTCCTCAAAGGAAAGGCAGGTAAAAAAAGAAAGCAGGACTATGCAAGTATTAAAATATTACGTAAGATATTATGTAGTATTTGATTATGGACATGTGTACTCAGAATTCATCAAATTATTATTACCAGTCAAGCATGGCACTGCAGTGATGAAAACGTAGAACTGTCAGCAGTGATGGGAATGTCCTAAATCCGGGTTGTCCTTGAAATGTGGCAAGTGTGACTGATAAACTGACCTTTCAACTTTGTTTAATTTTTATTAATTCTAACCTAAATGTAAATAGTCAGGCCCTGGCTGGGTAGCTCAGCTGGTTAGAGTGTCATCCTCATATGCCAAGGTTGCAGGTTCGATGCCCAGTCAGGGCACATATAAGAATCAACCAATGAATGCATAAATAAGTGGAACAATAAATCTCTCACTCTCTCTCTTAAATCAATAATAAAAAAAAGTTAGATGTAAATAGTCACATGTCACTAGGGGCCACTGCTGTGGACAGTGCAGCTCTAAGACTTTCTCCCCATTCTACAAACATCTCACAAAGGACACAAGCTTAAAAACTATGAAGCTTGTACTATGGTGGCAGTCAATTATTTAAACATGGTTTTTGGTCACTACATTCCATAGGTTATTATTTCGGAGTCACAGTCTTCTCTAATCCTTTGCCAAAGGACAAGAGAAAATAATTTAGAGAAAAATACGTTTTCAGAATAGGAGTTTTGGATCTAGCTTTTGAAACACACAGGACTGCAAAAGTGAACTACCTGTTTGGCTACTTCATGCTGAAATAGGAATTAAAGTGGGCATAAATCACAGTGTGATTAAAACTTTTGTTTTAATCATGAAAAGGATATTTACTGAGTGCCTACTGAGTACCTTGGACTCTAATGGATGTTTTGGGTTGTCAAATAGTATAAATTAAACAAAACCCCCAACTTGAAAAATCTTAAAATAGAAAAGCACTAAGCAGATCTCTCTTGCCCTCCCTCTGCTATGCCAGGAACTGACCCCGTCAGCATTAGTGTAAGCAAAAGAAAAACCTTCCATTATTATTCTGAAAAGCAGAAATTTGCCTTATATGAGAATAGTTTCGAATACTGGTATCAGTATGTGATAACCTTTGTCAACATAAACACTGGCTAGGAAGACATTCAAAGACGCTGCAGCATCAAATGTTGAAGCGTTTAAATCCCCTGTAGAAACGTAATTCTGATCGTGAAGTTTTACAGGCAACTGACTCGGTGTCCCAAACAGAAAGGAATGAGGGCATTTCTTCCAACTTGTAGAAAAGCTACTTACCAAGGTACACCTGGGATCCTTCCAGTGACGTTCCTCCCAAGGAACTATTCATATGTTCATAGAGTTCCTATAAAATACAGGTTCAGTTTAGACATTTTACTATCATTCTGGACACTGAATTAGAAATATGATGATCAGGAAAAAAATGGTTCTTTAATTGAGGCCGTTTGTTTTGCAAGGCCCTAACTTTAGAAACAATCAAGGTCTCTCTGAACACTTGCCCGCTGCCAGCACTCCTTCCGTCTCTTCTCTGCATTGCAGACCTGGATTCATTCACATGGTGGATGAATCCACACATTCCCTCTACCTCCTTGCTAAACACCTAACTGTCCTACTCTTGCTAGAATCCAGGAGAGATCCATGTTCTAGCCATTCATGGCAGCCTTGATAAAGCATGCTCTCCATTTCAGCAAAACAGTCATGTAGTTTTCCTGGCTTTTGCAATGGGTACCAGAAGCCTGATACATAAACATACTCAGCAGTGTATTAATAAGACAAGCAGATCAGAAGAAGAAATGCCATAACAAAGGATACTACCCTTTTGTTAATAGAGACATTTATATTAGTTATACTAGTTACCTGCATTATTTCCTAATAAAAGACAGTTTGGTTAAGTGCAATAAGTATGAACTGTACATTCTGGGCAGCTCCCTGCCCCTTCAGTGTTACCTTCAAAGAACGCCTCTCTTAAAGTAGTAAGTGATTATCTTTCACAATATTACTGACAAGGTTAACTCGATTCAGGAATCTGCCTTCAGCCAAACACATCTATGGAGGGGTATAAAGTTACCTTTAGAATGGAAATTTGGGAAAAATCCTTCTCTTCAAAATATGCGTGTGTAATGAGCTGAAGTTTTGCTTGAAGTAAGCCATAGAGAGGCTTAAAGAAATAACAAAGAAAATGGCCATTAGTTTGATAATAGTAAAAAAACAAACACCCCACAGCCTATTACCTTGATGAGAACAGGAAGAAAAAAGTAACTCTCAACTTCAGCATCCTATTATTTACAAGAGAGCTGTGACATCGCTCGTGCCAGGCCCCTGGCTGCTGCGGCAGGTGCCTGACCCCCCCAGTGCAGTGGCTGAGTGTGGGCACCGACCTCCTGGGTCTCCCCCATTGCTCAGCTGCATAACCAGGCACTTCACCTCCACACACCTGCTCGCTGATGCGAACATGGGTATATGAAAAGACAACATCCTACAGAGTTGTTTTCAGAATTAAATAACCAGGGAAAGCACTTAGTAGAGCACCTGGCACCCAGGACGCCCTTACACATCAGCTATTATTATCAAAATGCAAAACACATTCTAATTCTGCGCACTGTTCTGCTGGCTTGTGGAGACATGTACCCATTCTCAGAGTAGCCAGTTCTTACAGCTAGTTGAACATTCACAATTACATTTAAGTTCATTTCCCTTTTCTGCTCTCTGTGGAGGCTTACAACTAGCCTGTGTCTTCTATCATAACATCCTTTTATGTACTTGAACAGTTTTTCCTTGGTTCTTAATCTTCCTATTTAAGGGCAGGAGGGAAACATCAATGTGAGAGAGAAACATTGACCGATTGCCTCCTGCATGCACCCTGACCAGGGATCGAGCCTGAAACCTTTTGTGTACTGGATGATGCTCCAACCAACTGAGCCACACTGGCCAGGGCTGTCATGAAAGTCTAACAAACACATTAACAGGGAGCGATCTGGTCTCTTACCAGCTTGCTTAGAACACAGACACTCTTCTGCACGGTCTCTCTGGTGACATCTGCGTGCCGGACTTTCAATGCCTATTATAAACAGTCATTAGAAATATTTCACAGAAATACTTAAAAATCATTATTCTTTAACATAAAAATAATAATTAGATAGAAAACATTTCTTGCATTTGGCTAATGAAATTCAAAAAATATTTATTGAGAATCTCAGAAAATATTGATTGAATGAATAAGTGTCAGTTGGTCAGGCCACTGTGTGCCGGAATCCAGGAATCGAAGGGGACAGAACTGTGGGAGACCACCTCTGTTATGAAGGAATACTTTATGTGTAAGATGCACACTCAGTGCAAGTGAGTCATCCTTGGTTCTGGTTGTAAAATGAGCCGCCCTTTCAGAGCCCACTGCTCCTGGTGAGGAGAGAGTTTAAGAGATGACAAAACAGCATGTTCCTCCAGAGATGGAGGGATGGGGGACTGTCCATAGCTTTGTTAAGGCGGTTGCTCTAGGCCACCTGGATCTATTCTGGCTGACTCCTGTTGCAGCCCAGCTTTGAGCCCTATCGCCTGCCTCCCTGACCCCGGGGACGACTACGTGAGATTTCTATGGTTCTCTGCCAGCAGAAAATACGCCTTGATTAGATCAACCTCAGATGAGGCTGCGAGGGAGGTAAGAACTCTGCCTTCTAGGCTACTGCCTGCCAGCTCCTTGGGTCTGTCCTGAGGGCCCAGGGGCCTCCTGTCTTCAGCGGACGGGCGCGCAGCGGTCACACTGAGCAGGAGCAGAGCCTTTCCTCTACCTGTTTCTGCCTCTATGCCTTGACTGGGTTCATTCATCGGGCCCCACCTTGTTCACAGGGAATTAAAGTCCTCCTCAGACTCCGGGTCCCTCTGCTATCTGGCTGATCTATCTGGTTATCAGAGGAGGGTAGAAAAACTTGGGAGAAAAGGGCAACTCCAACATACTCTGGAGGGGTCGGCCCCGGGGAAGGGAGACAGCGGGCGAGGTGCGCTTAAAGGCTACGCAGAGCGTGAGGACGTGGATGAAACTGCAGGGGCAGAAGGCAGTCAAAGGGACAGATTTCCAGGAAAGGACAGTAGCTCGGCTCATCCCATACAGAAGTGCATGAGGGTAACGGCGTACGAAGAAAATGCACAAAGCTACGACGCAGAGTATCCCCACTGCGAAAAACCCCAGTGCTGCCCAAAGCAAACCATAAAAGGGAAGCTGCCCACCGTGGTCTATCTGAATTTATGATTTAGAGCTATTATCCTAAGTCAGGCATTAAGCTGGCAGGTACTTTAAGAATTATCAAAATCTTAGTTATAGATAATTAAGATAACTTGCAAGTAGTCTGAAGCTATTATAAGTACTTTCCACTAATTCTAGAATGCTGCTTAAAAAAACAAAACCAAAAAAAGCCCATTACTACTCCATTTTTCTAAGTTATACAACAAACACTAGAAATAGAAAACTCAAGGACACTATGAAATTTAAATGCAGTATTTTGAAGACAAATGAACAAGTTCGGTATCACTATCTGAAAACAATGTGCAAAATATTATGATACAAATATAATTATAATCATCAATATCAACTTACAAAAACATCTATGTGAATAAATTGTTACTATTGGGCAAACAGCTACAAACTGTTTATAAAAATTTAAAACAATATCACAGGTGCCACCTATGTATTTCCCCAAACTTGACATTTTAAGTGAGTAATACTTAAGAAAGAATTGTCCAGTGCTTTTTTGTTGTTCATCGTAACTATCGTACCTTGGCTTCAATTTGTCGATAGCAAGAGATACCATATACAGTGGCTCCATTTCCATTTCTGGGAGGCAAGTGAAAAAACACGGTATCTAAGAGATACACAGAAAGAGGTAGACACTAAAGTGAATTACCCTTAGGAATAAACAATGACAATGCAGCCATTACAAACAAGACTATTACAAGGAGCCCATGCCACACTTCCTTCTAGCAACACAACCACTGGTTGTGAGGATTCCCTTCACAATCTTACAGTACACACTCATCACAAAAGCACAAAAGGCTGAATGAATCATAGCTGGTCAAACGGAGACTAGATCACTGATCTCAGAAAATACTTTATCTATACAGGATCATTCCAGATTAAAATAGAGACACGAAAAACCAAAGGCAATACATGACTCTCAAACAGATCCAGGAAATTCTTGGAAGACTGGGGGAATTTGAACATAGACTGAGTATTAGTGGGTGTTATGGAATTACAGACAAATCTCTTAGCTGTGATAATGATACGGGAAGCCATCCTGGGAGTGATCTATTCTTAGGAGATGCATGCTGCAGTAATAAGAGCTGAAGTGTCATGCTGTTTACAACTGACTTTCACACGGTACAGGCAAAACTGTACACAAACGCAAACACACAGAACATCTGTGGAAAGTTCGCTGTATTGTTCTTTCACCTTTTCTGTATGTTTAAAAGTGTTAATAATTTTAAAAATTCGGATAAAGCATTTGTGAGGTTAAAATACTATATTTAACGTTTGTTAACCTGCAGAGTAACATTTGCTTCATTTCATCGGAAATTATTAAATATTAGGAAAAACAGGTAATCCAACCAAGTTCAACCTAGTGTTTTGGTAGAGCCTCTAATACCATGATAAAATGTAGTCCTTCATCAAGCCAGTCAAAGCACTCACTTACAGGATGGTAGGAGACTCTGCACTAACTTCACAGCATTGCTTTCGCTGGGGGTGTTAGCAGGGTCTGCATCATGCAAGCAAACTTGTAGGCAGAGCACTATGACAACAATGGCCCCAGGGGTGCAGAAGCAATTCCAGATGTTTCCAGGTGGCCACCAGAGCACTAACCTTGTGAGGTTGCAGGCAGAGCCCCAATCAGTCTGCAGCTGGTGCAGGTAAGGCCTTTAATTTGCCTCTGAGAGGAGTCTAAAGTATAAATGCAGGAAGTGCTACCAGCAGTGAACGTCCTAATCTGGCCAATCACTTACTTTGGCCAGGGTCCTGCCAAGGGTGGCTAAGATTCACCAACCATTACCAATGTAAGTCTGGTACTCCTCTGGAGATCCTCTAGAGCATGACTGGTCATCTCCAAGCCAGCATTTAAATACCTTATCAACAGTCATGATGAACCAAAGGCCTTCCATTTACAAAGTACTTACAATCTAAGATGTCTTGTCAAATTAAAAAACGACACTTACTAACTGTGCCACTGTGCTTACATACCTTCCTGGTAGTTGTGTGCGCCATCTGGTAAGGCAAGGAAGGGCAAGTACTTCCACTCTTCAGGTATAGTGGGACTATCGTGTCCATCTCCTGGAATCAGGGGTGGGTAAGAAAATTCAACCTAAAATAGAAAGGAATGTTGTTAGACAAAAGGTTGTTGATCAAAGGGAGAATTTTATCTTGAAAGGCAAAAATGCTTTTAAACTCTGAAGGACAGTAGTCCTCCAGTTTCCTAGAGAGAAACTGAGTTTTAAATCTGATGGCAAGGAATATAATAGGACCAGTCTTTCTCAAAATGATTCAGTAGGTAAAGACTCTTCTCTCCTCGTATGTCTGTATGTCGTCTCTCCTTCTTTTAGCGCCCATCCCTAGTAGACCAGGGCCTTCTGCAGTCCTCCCTTATCTAGCAAAATCTGAGCTCAGCAAAGGATATGAATCACAGTAACATGAAAGAGAGGGTTACCCATGATGTCTAAGCCTTTTACTAGAGATGAAGATATAAGTCAAAGAAAGAAATTGGGGCACTATTGGGGACTTTCTAGCTACCTGGGGGGAATTATAAGAGGCCGAAAGAATCTTCCTGATATTACTAAAACTCCATTACACAGGTTGAACACCCTGCTTAGCTGGGATGCCAAGGTGCAAATGAAAACTATTCCACTGCTCTAAGTGTTAATATCACAGCCCTACAAAGCCAGGCATGTTCATCATTTCAGCATGTAAAAAGCGTCGTGAACATCAGGAAAAAACCTCCACCAAAATATCAAAGTTCAAGGAATAAAAGTGTTGGGAGGGCCAGGAAATGCAATCTTGTTTCACAAATTTCTCTAAGTAGCTAAAAAATCTCTCAACATTATTTTCCCCTAACCTATAACTCTCCAAAGTTTGTTCTTTCTTTTCCAAAGGCCTGCTTATTCCAAGAATCACACACGATACCTCCCCAATGTTTCGTCATTGTCACCACAGGATTCTAGCAAAAGCAGGAGCCAAAACTCCACGTGTCAGCCAAGCCATCTGTCACCCAAACCCGAATGGGTCAGGGCTTGCCACTATCACCCTAACATAAACCAATCCGCCCACCCCCTACCCCCACCAATCTTCACAGCCCATCCCTATATTTGCAACATAGCATCCGGCTAGCCAAGGAGATGTTCCAGGGATGGGCCTGCTCAGACCAACAGTAAAATATGCTGTTTCCTCCCTCATTCTATGTGCTTTACTCACCACTGGAACTAGTGTAAACATGAGTTCTAGTACTTTCATAGTTCTACATTTTTAAGAAGTAAAGTCTGGTAAAACCAGTTTATTCAAGAATTAAAGTTTCTAGCTATGTATACAAAACCACGAACAGAACAAAATCAGAACAGTGGTCAAAAATCAAGTAATAATTCCAACTTTTTAGGCATCCCTTTGGGAAATAACTATTCCCTCTTAATTTGAGTGTTTAAAAAAAGTTCCAATCTATGAAAGAATGAAAAAGTTTAACTGATATGGTTGATTATATTATTTTGCCAAAAATACACTAACCTGACAAATATGTACTTAGTGCCACAAAGCAAATAAGGAACAAGCAAAACTCTGGAACACAAGGTCTATAACAAGCGAACTACTACAGAGGAGGTGTCCATAAATTATCTCATGTCAATGAATCTAAGTGCAGGTGAGTTTTTAAGGAAGAAGCCTCCTTTGCTAAATGCTAAATTTTTTAAAATTTCAGGAAAAGAGTTGGAATGGATAAATATCTCAAAACTATTTTAGATGTCATGGTGGTACTTCCACTCACTTAAAAAAATGTCCTAGCCTGGCCCGTGTAGTCACTGGATTGAGCATCCTCTCATGTACCAAGACGTCACCGGTTCAATTTCTGGTCAGGGCACACTCCTGGTTGCATGCCCAATCCTCAGTAGGGGGAATGCAGGATGCAGCCAACAGAATGTCTCCATCTCTCTCTCCCTCTAACCACTAAAAACAAATTTCTTAAAAAAATGTTCTAAAAGTGTACCCATCAACTAGAATTATCACCACTAGAAATTAACATGTTATCTACACAAGAATTCACTCCTGCAAATGACCCCAATAAATGTGAAAAAATGACCAAGTGATAAAGTTACTAGATGTTCATTTTAATTGAAATGAAGGAATTTTTCATTAAAATACATCTGAAGGCCTCAAAGGTGAAAAAAATGTAGGAAACAAGATGATGGAACATCTACATGCCTAGTCTGGAGAGCTTGTGGTCCACGAGAATGGACCTGACTCCTTTATCAAGGCAGTCACTGCAGAGCAGCTTTATAACAGAAGAGTCTAGGAACATTTAGTATACTCCTCTGTGAAAAGTCATCCTGCCTGACCCTGTAGACTGCTCTAAGGCAGTCCTTTAAACAAAGGTTTTACTTCGGTTCCTTTGCATCTAAAAATGACAAATGACGACCAAGTATGGGAATTTTTGCTATGAATAATCCCAGAGTATGGAAAGAACTGGTGATCAACATGACCCGCAGCATCTGGAATACTTGGAAGGCCAGTCTAACAGAGTGCCCTCCTGCAATCTAAAACAATCTGAAGTCAGAGTCACAGTTCAATAAGGCAAGCACTCATTCTTCTTCACCTGCAAGGAATGACTTAAAATGGAAAATCAGGTAGCTGATGAATGAATACATCCTGAGGGAAATCTTACATAATCAGAGCCTCTGAAACACCTGATAGACTGATTTTTGTCCCTGCACTGTCTAAATTTTAGCAAGAATCCTGTTCAGTTTAACCAGAAACCCTCCTTTACCCCTGATGTAGTAAATTTCCAGTCACTGACCCCTACTCCGCTCCTTGGCTATAAATTCCCACTGTTCCTTGCTGCATGCAGAATCGAGCCCAGTTCTATACTGAGGCCTCTTCATCTCTCCTGCAACGGCTTTTGAGTAAAATCTGGTTTTACCGCTTTTGCTACTGTCCAGCTCTGGTTTTTCTGATAGCACCAAATTAGCTGTAAGTATGCTTAAGTCACCTAACCTTTCTGGGGTTCAGTTTACTCATCTGTACATCTAAAGAGAGATGGATTAGATGATCTCTAAGGATCCCCGCCAGGCCTAAAGTTCTCAGGAAGAAATAAGGTACAGAAAAATTAAGCAATTTGGACTTGCTGAAGGTCTGGAAGCTATGAGGCCAGGATGTCATCCAGGTCTCCTGACTCGCAGCAATAGTGTTCATTTTACAAAACCAGTCACCGTTACAAACCTCAGCCCTGAAGCCAAAAACCAGACAAATCCAGAGAAATGCCAGGGTTCTACTTCAGCCCAAAGTGCCTCTTTCATCTTAAAATCTGTTAAGTTTTCTTTAATCTCTAAGCAGCAAGCAGCATTACATTTTGTTTTCTAAAATAAAATAATTTTCCTTCTCTGGAAATAAAAATATTACTTTTGCCAATGAAACAGATATAAAACAACAATTAATCTTGACTTTAGATGACAGCAAAATTAAGAGATCTTATTCTATTTCCTACCAATATTCCCTTCTTTTTGTCTTTAAACAGTTTTGGTTCAGAAGTGGGGTCCCCACTTCTTACTGTACCCTAATAGACTCCTAAGCGCCACATGGATGAACACACGTGGTGCCCGCGGAAGTCTAAGTCTGCCTCCCGAGCTGGTTTGCAGTGTGACCTCTGCAACATCATTTTACTTCCTCCAAGCTTGTTACTTCACCCGTATCCAAAGCAAGTTATAAAGCGACGATTAAGATCAAAGGTGTGAAGTTTTAAAGCAATAAAAATCTAATGATGATGAACACTTTATTTGCAGGCCATGATGCGAACTCAAATACCTATCCCCTCGCCTCTAAATATAGGGCCCTATTTAAAAACCTTATAATCTACGTCTGCTTGGAATTTTTTAAGTACCACACTGGATACCACCACTTCCTCCTTGGTATCTCCCAGTGCAATTTCCACGCGAGGGGCACGGGATGGCAAGCAGCCTTTAGGACACAAACACAACCATCCTCTCACCTGCTCCCTCGCCCTTCTGTTCTCCTCTGTGGAACTGAAATTTCGCCCACAGAAGCCTTCCAAAATGTTACCTTCCCGTGAAATTCAAGAAAGGAAATGCCCCATTGCCTAGCGGTAGCAGTCAGTATTTTTAATATTTAAACGTCTCGATTTCCGGTTCGCGAGCACATTGTGACATCACCGCCTTCCAGGGGTCGCGCTCCTTAGATAACCCAGCTCCCGTTTCCTTCCCCCGCCGTCGGGACCCAGGCTGCAAACGTGCCTTTGCTCCCTCCCTGGGCCGTTCAGGGGAGACGCTGAAAAACGACTTTGCATCTGCACGTTTCTCGGCTGGGTAAAGACACCTCCTTTCCTGGCAATGGAGCTGGAGGTCAAGGTCTCACCT